TTGTTCTCTCACTACCGTTTGAAGCTTTGTATAAAAACTTTCATGTCATCTCCTGTGTCTAGGTTCACATACACAGCAACAGGAAAACTATCTTGCTTCTTTGTTTCATCATTATATCTCAAAACATTAAAGTTCTTCAATAATTTGTTCTTCCTGCTGGAATACTTCGAACCTGTCTGATTTCAATAGCTTTCTCACCTCCTACATACTCTACCCAGTGTCTTGGATATTCATAAGTATACTGACTTTCTTGAATTTTGGTTGGTTTCATCATAACGTGTTCATAGTATATCTTTATACTCTTGTCAGTTAGACTCGGTGCTATGTTCTGAATATTTCTGACTTGCATTTTTAATGGAGATAAAATGAAGCATTTAATACATGACGTAGATGAAGACATGAATGAAACAGAAAAGCTTAACAGTTTCTCTATTCTTCCTTTCAGTAAGGACTATGAGTTCTGTTCAAATGGCGTTTATTTCTATTGTGGAAAGATGGGTTCAGGTAAGACATTTAACCTCATTCGTCATATACTCATAACAGAACGTTTAGGAAATGACTCATATTATGACCAAATCATTATATCAGCAACTTCAGACTCTATGGACTCAACAGCGAAAACATTTATGTCAAAAGTTCAAGCCTCTGTCGTTAAAGTTCCAGACAGTGAACTCATTGAATTTCTTCAACGTTACATTCGACGTAAGAGAAATATTATGCTATTGTAGAGTTCATACAGTCAGGAATGCAAAAGACTTCAGAGATGGAAAGAATTATTGACAAACACCACTTACGTCAATACTCAGGAGTTTACGATATGAAACGACTTACAAACTACATTCTGTCAAAACTTTCAAAATACCCATTCAAAAAATATCCTTCAAATACTTTGTTAGTTTGCGACGACTTCGCCGGAAAAGGTTTAGTGTCAAAACCAGACTCACCATTAGCTAACATGTTAGTATACATATCAAGTGTACGGTGGCACTGCGCACCTACTTACCCATTATATGTGAATTTGACACTTTACAAAACCAGTAACGTATATTTTACAACACAAACGACAACACTAACGTTCTCACTAACGAATTCACTAATGTTTTCACAAACGACTTCACTAATGTAAAAATAAACGTTCTCACTTACAAAAGTATTGCAACTCCTCCCATTGCTGTGCTTCATATAACAGCTCATAATCTTCTGACTCACTTTCTTCTTCATATAGGTCAAAATCACTGTCTAGTTTAAACCTGTAAGTTTTGACAAAGCTAATGAAACACGCTTACCGTTTGTATCGTATGCTTGTATAAACTTTCCATTATGCTTGTAGTCATAAACGCTCCCATTCTTTCATGACATAACATTCTGGGGCAGAGTCAACATAAATGACTAAACGTTTCAAATTCTCGACTGCTTTGTTATAGTCTCTAAATGGACACATATTTCTGAAGGCTTGGAAGTCATAAAAATCTGAAACGTCTATTCTGTACATTTTTATAAAAATAAAAAAAAATATTTTTTTATTCTTGACTTTGTTGTTGCATTTGTTCCATTTGTTGCATTTGTTGTTCTTGAGCTATTTGTTGTTGAAGTTGTTCTTGTAGTACAATACTTTCACACAGTTGCATCTTCCAATTCGAAACTTTCTGCCGTCATTGACAAATACATAGGACATAAAAGTTTTACAGGAAAAAGTTTGCGTCAACTAAGGTTAAGTTTATGTTTGCTAAAGTGTTTGAGTTCACTAAAGCTGAAAACTCTGCATTCGAATGAAACAATAGGCAAACCAGCAGAGAAAGTGTTGTTTATACGCATAAGTATCTTTTGGTCATAGTAGTTTCTGTCGACATTCGAATAACACTTTGAACCTAAGTTTGAAACAATATATAAAATAGGTGTACTTAAAGTCAATGGAACAGATAGACCTTGTAATGACACCTTTTCCTGTTATAGGAACTGTTGGTAGTAAAAACCAGATATAAGTTTTGTATTATAGCTCATATCGTTTATAGTAAACTCAGTCGGACATCCAAACATTGAAACCTGCTCTAGTTGCAGCACATGTTTATCCGTCCTTAAAGTATTAAATAAGTCAACAAAACCTGTTGGTGGTATATCTGAGTAAGTATCTTCAAAGAAGTATTTTTTTACCATTCACAAACAACAAAGTCTTCTGGTGTCAAAAGAGCAAAACAGGCTTTAGTCGTCATTGTGTTTAAGGTTAGTTTACAATATCGTCCTTGAGGACTTTGTAAGTTTGTTGTTATAGAATTATATGACTCTGGGTTTTTAGTCGTAATAGTATAAACCACTATGTCTTCTGCCATTTTTACTTAGCAAGTAAATTTTAATGAAATGTTGTGGTCGTCAAATATTTTTATGACGTCTGGGAACTATATTTTAAGTTCAACGTTTCACCTCCTTTCATAACGTATATCTTGTCAATGACATTATATGAAACACACAGCAAGCAATGTCGGTTCTATTTCTTTGATGTTTATATCGTCTGCCTCTGTCAAAAGTTTCAATAGTTCTTTCAAAACTTCATGAGGTGCAATGACATATGAGTTCACTTTTACAGGGTTGTGTTCGACAAGTTTAACATTAGACCTAAAGCTTGACAAATCTTCTCCTGAGTTTGAAGTTTGTCTTTAAGTTGTTGGTAGTCGTTTCGAATATCTGCAACAGAACTTAAGTCTCTGCTAACTTCAGGATATGTTGGTTGTTCTTTTACAGGAACTATTGTTATACCATCTTCGTCTTCGTATGGTTTCCCACACTCAACATCTCTTTCTTTGACATTGACAATAACACTTTGATTGTTTGTTTGAGTTGGTGAATTTAACTTCACATCTGCCACCGCCATTAAACCTTTTGAAACACTTACGCTTCTATTTTTCGGAAATGACATTTTACTTAGAATAAAAAGATGGACGTATTTGAGTATCTCTTCGAATTGAAGCAGAACAAAGTTTACACACACAAACAATACAAATACATTGACAGAATAGTTCTTTATACAAACAATGGTAAATGTTATAGAATAGCAGTCTTTGCTGAACCAAAATATTTTCATAAAGCAAAGAAAGTTGGTATAACCGAGATGGTGAAAGTTCTTGAAGCAGACAAAAATATAACAACAAAACTGACCGATATTTCTAAAGGTAAGTTTATAATACAATATTATATCAAAACTGGCGTACTGTCAATATTTGACGGAGAGAAGTCAGTTCAAAGAACAACTTACTGACCTGCTGCCCAAAATCTGCTCGATGGAAGCTGTCGTTATACCAATCTGAGGAGCCCCAGCAGGTTTCATCGAACGAATTTTCAAAAGAGCATCTTCCGTGAAAAGTGCTATTGGTTTTGTAAACTTCTTTGCTTTCAATTCATTTGGACCGTCTCTGTCACCAGTATATTGTATTTGAACTGTACCAACATGAAATACCACCCATAAAGTCTTCTGAGTCAGCAAATGGAATGCCAAGCCAAAAGTTTGAACGGTCTCCATTTGTATATTGAGTGTTTTGAGCTCCTGTATGAGTCCATACTTTCACATATGGCATAATAGAACTTTGCATTTCAGGGTTAATGTTGTTGTGAAGTTGTTGTAAAGTTCATAGCATCTAATGTCAAAGTTGTATGACCTCATATCCTCAACTGTAGAATATTCTTCTCTTGGATAGTATTTGCCATCTATGTTATATGGTATTTAATACCAGGGTTGTAGAAGCAAGAATAGTCATTTATAGTTCGTCTGAACAGTACAAACATAGTATCTGCATGTTTCATTGCAGTTGTTAAGGCAATATCTGTTCTTGCACCTGGGTCAGCACTTTGGTTTCCAACTTCACCTGCAAAGTCTTTGACAGATATTTGGTGTATAGGGAACATAAGTGGAACTGCAATATATTTGGCAGCTAAAGCATTTGAAATATCTGGGTCCAACATATAGACTGCAAGTCTGCTTTCTATTCTCTTGCATTCAAACTTTTCGCATGTGAACTTAACTGGGTCCAAGCAGTTCCAGCAGCATTGAAGTAGTAGTTTACTTCAGTTTGAGGTTTGAGAAACCAAAGTCTAAGTCAACTTTGTCTTTGCAAAATTCGGCGAATGACGTTTGATTTGCTCCCTTTACGTCTGTAAGAGTGAATGGGTCTTGTGTTGGTGCAATGACTAAGTTATTTTTGCTTGGAGTAAGTTCGATAGAAATTTTTTCCTGCCCAGTTTGGCAAGTATCTTAAAAACCTGAAGATGAGGAAAGATGACAAAGGAACTCTAAGTTTCAGTTTTACTTTGGTTACTGCTGCTGCATTTTGTCCAGAAAGGTCAACATAAACTCCTGGAACGTTAGGGTCAAGTCTTCTTATTTTCTCAATAGTTGCATACTGTCTGGTTTTTCTCTAGCTTGTGGTTGTACTGAGTTTCTCAAAGCGAACCATTCATAGTTTGCCCATGTTACTGTTTGAACTAAGTCAGAGTTAGAATATATCTTATATCCCATGAAAACTTCTGGAGCATATTGGTATCCGACATAGAAAATTCCATTGCAACCTTTCTTGTCAGACAACTTGGCAGAAGGTTTTATTTCAATGTCTTGTTCCACGTATAAAAAGAGTTGTCAATAGAAATAATATGAAACCTGTCGCAAGCAATATCTACTGTTGTTGAAGAACCTTCTCCAAACTCACCTACGTTTCCATAAGAAACAGCAGTTGTATATTCGTAAGTTCCAGGAACTATTTCTGACCTTCTAATGGCATTGTCGCATTCGTTATACCATTCGGAAACATTTCCGTTCATAGCATCCAAAACTGTTGGCGTTTATATTCTGAGCGGGCGTACATTTCATATGAGTAAAAATATAGAATAGTTGGATTTATATGTCATAATAGAACCCACGTGGACCAAGCTTTACTTTCTTCCTGACTGAGTTTTTAACTCTTCTTTTTCCTCATTGCCCTCTGCTTGAAGTTGTTGCATCTTTGCATTATGTTCATCTAGTATGTTGCAAATTTCCCATGTCCTTTTTGTGCCTTTTGGCTCTGGTCGCCCATCTCAGGTAACCTATATCCTAGAAAGAGTTTGTCATAGTTTGTATTTGAGTCTTTGCGTATTGTTTGCATGACTCTTTCCTGAGTTTCTGGTTCAAGCTCTTCAAACAGTGCCTGTCCATATGGAATATGCTCGTTTCCAAATATATGTTTTTGTAGCCATTCTGGTTTTCTTTCCATGTTACCAACTATATCTTTTGTGAATGGGAAAGCTTCTACCCAATCTTTCAGTCTTGCGTCGTTTATTTCTGTAGTTGGTTTTATTTTGTCAAGGAACATGTTTTTCAATACTAACATTCATCTGGTACTGTCCATTTGAGTTTTCTTAAATATTCATCCTTCTCAGTTCATTGTCTGCAAAGTAAGTTTTTATGACATTTTGTAAACTTTCGTTTGCAAGGTCATGTACAATAGGTTCTCTTCCTTCTCCCTCCCTAACTTTCTTTCTAAACTCTTCACCAAATATACCATCTCTATGGTTCTGTGTAGTTCTTTGAGATAAATGTTCTAGAACGTCAGGTGTTATATTTCCATCAGCCATGTTCATTTCATACTGGTCCAAAATATCTGCATCTTTCATATCTTTCAATGGCATTAAAGCCGCGCTGAAAATACCAGCTATATCTGGTTCACCATTCACTTCCATTGCGTCTACAACTTCTTGGAATTGTGGTTGTAAGTTTATGAACCACCTATCTGGATTAGCTTTATGACCCATCTCATTGTAGTTCCATCGTCTGCAGAAACAAAAGTAGGTTTGTTTCCATCTTGGTTAGGTTCTGAATGAACTTTAAACAATGTTTCATTTCTATATGTTTTCTTGAAATTTAACCTTTTATCTTCACCGAGTTCATCCGAAGATTGAACGTTAAATGCTCGTAAGTAAAAAGGGTTGTTGTATTTGTGTACATTTTCTTTCAGTGCTTCCATTCTATGCTGAATATTTTCATCTGGTGTTGGAGTCTTTTGTATGTCGGCAAACATTTTTCGATATTCTTCTACTATGTCAGCCGAATTTTTTTTAGACTCTTGGAAATATTCCATATTCTCCGCATACTCTGTTGAGGTCAAGATTTTTCGGCTGTTCCAAATCTTCATCTAGTTCTGTGAAGTTAGTTTCCAAAGGAGTGACTTGTTCGTTTCCTTCAGGCTCTTCTAGCTGTTGTTGCTGAACTATTTCTTCCATGTCTGGTTGTATCTGAACTATTTCTTCCTGTGGAGTTTCTTGTACCTCATCTGCTGGCATTTCATATATTCCGAGACCGTTTTCAACAATTTCCTATCTACGTCATCCGCATTCATAAGCTTTTGTTCTTTCGTTCCGTCTCTATTTTTTACGCGTTTCATGACGAAAGTTGAATTGTCATTTAGCTCTGACATCAAATATCTCGGAGTAAATTCATCCATGTCATTTGGATGATATGCTATTAAATCATATCCCTTAGCGAGCTTGTATTTTCCAGGTTTGAGATTATATCCGTTTTGGTGCTGAGCCATAAAGCTAAATAGGTTCGGGTCAGTATTTCCATCCTTGAACTTTCTAATAGCTTCTTTATATCTGTCACTAAAAGTCAACAGTATCTGGGAAACCACACTCTTCTTTAAGCATTTTTAAGAATTCTTGGTTTCCTTGTTCTCTACTTCTTTTATGTCCTTGCTCTGTTTGTGGTTGTTGTTGTGCAGGGTTTTGAACTGTTGGTTGCTGTGCTGGTTGTTGTGTTGGTTGTTGTGCTGGTTGTTGTGTTGGTTGTTGTTGTTGCGTTGGTTTTGGTGCATGCCTGTGTCTGTGTCCATGTGACGATGTAAATGTTTTAGGTAGTCCTGGTGCAGGTGCTTCTCTTGGAGGGTTTGGTGGTATATAAGTTCCACCAGCTGGCACATATGTCCATCTGCAGCGTAATGTCCTACCTGACTTTTCGTTTTTAAGAAAGCATTTACTAGGTCTGTTTTGGTCTGTTGTAACTCTTTTTCTTGACTTTCCACAACAGTTGCTCTAACGGCGTCATAGGCACTTTGAACTGCCTGTCTCGTTGCTGCATCTGTTATTTTCGTCATATTTTGTGCTACTTCTCTTAACTCTTTGTCGAAACCTTCAGACTTCAGTTTCTTTCCAGATGAGAAGTCGTTCACTTGTTTCACCTTACTATGAAGAGCTTCGAAAGCGTTCTTAAAGTCAGCATTTGTTAAAGCTTCATTTGAACTATCTTCATCCGCTTGTATTTTTGTCCTTATTGACCCTATGAGTTGGGCTGCTTTAGCGTTGGCTTGGGCATCTAACCAGTCATTGTTGGCTTTTATATATTCTGCGCTTTTCATTGCCTTTTGCATAGCCGCGTCGTTATTTTTACTTTCTTGTGCTAAGTTTTCATACTGTACGGTTTGGTTTTGCAACTGTAAAAGTTTTTCTGCCTTTACATTTGCTTCAACTTCTTTTTTATACTCATCGCTATCCATATATGTCTTCAGGGCTTTTTGTTTTATCTCTTCATCTTTCAGTATTTTATATTGAGTAGTATGGTTTTTCAAATTTATGACATCTTGTTCCATTTTTGCTACTTCTGTTGCTTTTTCTGACACTTTTTTCGCATATTCCTCTGTACTTAGTTCTTTCAGTTGTTCTTCTTTCTTCTTTTTCTCTACGTTTAACTCATTGAGTTTTCTTTGTGTGTCTGTCATATTCTAGTTTCTTTTCGTTTTCACTTATTTGCTTCTGTATGTCTATGTTTGACTTTTTGACATCTGTTATTTGATTTTTGAGTGAACTCAAATTCATTTGACTTTGAGGGTTATAGGCTGTTCCGTCTGCAGCTCCACCATAGCCTGCCATTTTCGCTAAAAGTGCCGCTCTTAAACCTCCACTCTGTGCACCAACAACTCGGTTTAAAAGCATAGGATTGCTTGACATTTGTTGCAACATAGTGGGGTCATTCAGCATTTGTTGTTGCAACTGTTGTTGTGGTGTTAGTCTTACTATTGGATGTTTCAATGCTCTCTTCCTCTTACGTATATTCTTACGTAGCTTACGTGGCATTTTAAGTGAAGTTAAAAACATTTACGATGAAGAAGTTTCGACAAAACATTTACGAAGAAATCATGAAAATTCATGAGGTGAGAAAACAGGTGAGAAAAGAGGTGACATCTCACCTCTTCACCTAAATTATATTTTTGGGTCATTTACGCTCATTACGAAGAAGTCTTGACAAAACATTTACGAAGAAGTCTTGACAAAACATTTACGAAGAAGTCTTGACAAAACATTTACGAAGAAGTCTTGACAAAACATTTACGAAGAAGTCTTGACAAAACATATACGATGAAATTCATGAGTTTTCTACGATGTTAGAAAACATGTTAGAAAAGGTGTTAGATCTAACATTCTAACATAAACATTATTTTTTGGTCATTTACGCTCATTACGATGAAATCATGACAAAACATTTACGAAGAAGTCTTGACAAAACATTTACGAAGAAGTCTTGACAAAACATTTACGTTCATGTTTGACAAAACATTTACGTTCATGTTTGACAAAACATTTACGAAGAAGTCTTGACAAAACATTTACGATGAAGTCTTGACAAAAAAGTCAACGGCTGGTCGGCTGGGGTTCGGTCCTCCTCTTGGGTCTTGGGAAAAATTCTTAGGGCTAGAAGGCACGAAGTGCCTGGAAGCCCCACTACCTTTTTTTTTTTTTTTTTTTTTTTTTGGTTATAGTGAAACTAGAGATACTCAATGTAAACTCTTTTTAAAATAACGTACAATTGCCAAGGCAATTCCGGTTTTGGCAATTGTACGTTATTTTTTTTTCGCAGTGATTTGAGTGAATTGCCAATTGCCATAAGCTTCAAGAAATCTGAAACAATGACACTGAAACATATTTAACTACATGTAAAATCAAATCAGGCTCATTTATTAAAAACGCAATATTTTTATACTTATTGTTTCGTTTTGTAAACATGAATTTAAGCCTAAATTCTTTCTCATGTCTGAGATGACCTTCTTTCATAAATTATTATGTAAATTTTTGATTATTTTGGGATAATATTAATCATTTGAACTGTTTTGTGGAGTTCTTTTGTGAATACGATGCATTTGTTGAACTAATATTCAATTCTCAATAAGATGATGCATTTCTGTTATTATATTTCGGATAATTTTTTAAAATAATTTTTTTAATTGCTCACAAAATATAGCAGAGGACTCTCATCAAAATGAACAGAGAGTGATTTATTTTTCATAAAGAAATTAAAATACAAAATAATTAAAAAATAAAATGAAGAAAAAGGAGAAAAAAAATAGGTCCTAAAAACAAATACTTATAACTATGATATGCGTATCTTATTGGGCGAAATTGGCGTCCGAAGGGCGCTAATTTCGCCGGAAATTTTTTGAGAATTGCCAAAATGACCTCAGAATTGCCAAGTCTGCATCCTTAATTGAAATCACTTGGTATTGAATATATCATTTATTTAATGACTGAAAATATACAATTCAAGTTTTATAATATTTCAGGGGTAGCAAGTGATAGACCCCTTATAAATAAATTAAATGAATGACAACTTAGGTTATACTTCAATTCCATACGAAAATTCAGTGGCCAAGCAAGCATATTTCGAAAATCTTCCACTTATTGCTGAATGTCTTCCCACTGAAGATTTCTTTAAGGAATTAGAAATAATTTTACTTTCTATTGTTCGAAATGACAAACTTATTACGAAATTTGTCGAAATCATTCCATTAATTCTTCAACCTGATAACATTTCATTTAATTTAAGATTCATTTACAAAGTTGGATCGATAATCTTAACTTCATTCAACAATTCCTTGAAAACGAATTACGTAGAATATGCAGAGAAAACACTTAATTCATACAATAACGTTAAACTCGAAATCGAAGAACAAATTAAACCAAATCTCGGTCAATTTGCAAATTCAAAGTTCGCAATTTGGCGTTTATGCTCATTAACCAAAATAGAGCCACAAATACAAGATATAGGTCAGCTTCTCTATAATGAATTTAATTCTCCAGATAGAATTCAATATGCAGCCGAATTCTTACCATTTATGTCACCATCAGAAGCGCAAAGACATATAGTTAATGCATTAATTAATCCACAGTACGTAGTTCGTGTTTCTGCCGTTGATGCGATAAGTTATTTCAAATTTGACCTTAGCGATCAATTTTACGAAACAAATTTGTGCCAAGAAAAGAATATCAAAGTTCTTGAGCATGTATTACAGATCCCTCCAGAGAATATTTCTCTAAATATTTTGAAACCACTCATTAATCATCCAGATTTAAGTTCTAAAGCTATTGCTGTTGCTCTAAAGTCACCACACTTAGTAACTCTCGTACCAGATCTCATTAAAAATGGCTGTGCTGGTGCTGAATTAGCAGATATCAATATTGAAGTCATTAAGAACATGAATCCTGTTCCATACGATCTTATTGCAATGCTACTTAAGGAATCAACCAAACTTGTCAGCGACGAGATCATTAAAGGCATTGCATCTCTCGATGAATTAAATGTTTTGTTCCACATCGTATTCCCTCGCATGGGCGAGAAGGGAAGTTGGCGACCTCGTTATATAGCAGTCCAAATCTTCAAAGAACTCGTCCGAAACAAGATTGCGGACGAAATGATTCCGGATTATGCAGGATTTGCGATCGCAATGGCTTTAGATCGCTGCTACTACGTCAGGAAGTTAGTTATGGAGACAATTGCTATATTCCCAGAAGGCTGGGCAAAGTCTTATACCATTGAATCTATTTTATCACTTGCAAATGATAAATGCGACCACTTCCACTGCGAAATGTTCAAATTATTACTTCAAGAAGCTCCAAATGTTCTCCATGGCTTCGAAAATCTTGTTGAGAATGCGAAGAAAGCAATTGAAAACGATCTTAAAGAAAATTGATTTTATATATTAACTTTTTAATACTTTTTGATTGAACTAATCTAATCCGATAGCTTGTGATATATTTATTCTATAATTCCAAATATATTTATTCTTCAAAATTGAGATCTAAGCAGTTATTTTTCGTTTTTATTGACATATTACTTACCGAGATATTAAATCGCACACAACATTGATTGCTAGTTTTTTTATAAGAATTCCCAATAATTTTTGTAGGAACATTATTTATGATGTATCTCAATATCTGGTGGGTTTGAGAGCAAACTTTGAATAGTATAGGTATCTTTAGATGATTGACAGTTCATTGTCTGCATATTACATTTGTCAGAAGTTTTGTTAGTCTCAAGAATATGATTTTACAATTCAACTCGATTTTACATTATTGAAAAAGTGACATATGATAATCAATTTTAAAAATCAGGCTCAAACGCCATATAAATATTCCATCAAATAGTACAATGATTCTAGATCATCATTAAAAACCAATAATCTTGCATATGTTACATCTCGATTAATTTCCATTCAAAACTATCTTCATCATATGACAACTGTTTTTAATCCATCTGGTGAAGAAGCAAAAGCTGCATTTCCTACATTGAAGCCTCGTCCAGCGGCACAACGCTTATCAACAAATTTATCTCAATCAGAACAAATATTTCCACCTACAAAATCAAATTATGTCGTTGGAAACTTCAATGTAACTAATTATGTTAATAGAGTTGTCGAATTAGCAATTGTCCGCTATAAAACATCTCCACAATACGAAAGTCAAAAAGCTAATAATGCATTCGGTATTAATGAAGGTCAAAAGGAAGCATTTCCATCAAGATCACAAAATACAGAGGCTTTCCCATCTCGCTCACAAAAGCAAGAACAGCCAACAGAAGCCTTTCCATCCAGATCTCAAAACACAGAAGCTTTCCCATCAAGAGCCGCCAAAAAAGAAGAACCAGCTACAGAAGCATCCCCATCCAGATCACAGAATACAGAAGCATTTCCATCCAGATCCCAAAATACAGAAGCATTTCCAACAAGATCTCAAAAACAAGAACAGCCAACAGAGGCATTCCCATCACGAGCTGCAAAGAAAGAAGAACCAGCTACAGAATCTTTCCCATCAAGAACACAGAAGCAAGAACAAACAACAGAATCTTATCATGCAACAAGGAATCCAAAGCCAAGGCGTGCAGCTAAAGAAGAAGCGGCATTTGAAGCAATCATTAAGATCCCATCAGGACGTGCAGCCAAAGAAGAAGCAATGTTTGAAGCATCACCACCATCAAAAGGAAAGCATCAAATCCACACATTCATACAAGAAACAGTTGTTTCTCAACCGGAAATCCATCAACAGAGGAAGAACTCTAAGACATTCCCATCATTGCAGCCACTGAAGACAGAACCACAATCAATTCCAAGTCCAACAAAGAACCATCAGCCACAAGAAGCATTTCCAACACCGAAGAAAGAAGCATTTCCAACATCAAAGAAAGAGGCTTTCACTCCGGAACCAATACAAACAAACTTTAACCAGCCAACAGAACCATTCCCAACTAAATCACAACCAAAACAAGAGCAGCAACAGCAGCAACAACAACAAGCTCCTGAACCATTCCCAACTAAAACAGAAGCATTTCCATCGAGAACACAGAAAACTGAGGCATTCCCAACGAAAACAGCTAAACCAGACACTTTGGATTTCGTTTTCGTCAAGTCTTATGTCAATGGAATCATCAGTCGCTGCTTAACAAAGGCAAATGCTGCAAAGAACGAACAGTTATTTGCATTTCCAAAGAGAAATTCTGTTTCTAAGAAAGAACCAGAACCAGCTCAAACACAACAACAACAAACACAACAACAACCAGCACAGCCAAAGACAACACAAGAACTTGCAAATGAATATGCGAAGAAAGCAATTGATTCTGGCCTCGAAAAGTATAAGAATACAAAAGTTGATGATACATTTGCATTCCCAACACGTACAAAGAAACCACCTCTTTCTGCATCAGCATCTGAATCTGTTTGCCAAATCTCTCCAGAGTCATCTGCTGAACAATTATCAGCATTCCCATCCAGATCTCAGAAAACAGAAGCATTTCCATCAAGATCTCAAACTACTTCTAATTCTTCTGAACAAAATCAAACAGAAGCATTCCCATCTCGTTCCCAGAAAACTGAGGCATTTCCAAGTAGATCACAACCAAAGCCAAGCGCAATTAACACACAGCCTCAGGAAGAAGAGAAATCAGCATTCCCTTCAAGGTCATCGCCAAGAAAACCACAGCCACAGTCGATTATTCAGGATGATGAAGATGATGAACATGGATTCAGGCCATTCCCAACACACCAAATGAGACATCACTCTCCAGGAGCAAGACCAGCGAAGATGACTGAAGATCTTCCACCAGCAATCAATGTAATGCTTCCTTCTGTTGACCAGGATGATGTTCCACAGTCAGCTTTACCTGCAAGACCACAGTTAACAGGCGAAGATTCATCTCCTTCAAAGAGACCAATTTTCAATCCGATATTGACCAGAAAACCACCAATGATGCCTTCAAGATCAGAAAGGAACTCCAGCGCTGCAAGAGAAGGACCTCCAATGGCTGACAAACTAAAGAGATCTGCTTCAACAGGAAGCCAGAATATCTTACTCAGAAAGGATCTCAGAGCTCACTTCGAAAAGACTGATTCTTCTGAATTGAAACAAGCAATGGAAAGAAAAGATATTAAATAAAAACATTATTCATTTGATTTTTTACCTATTATATCGATCATTTTCTGCAAAACCAGCTGATTCTTTGGAAGGACGCATTAGGTCGGTCCCATCTAAATTCTTATTACCAGGAGATTCAGCGCTATTATCGATTGCCCAAAATGAATATGATTTCATCTCAAATGCCTCAATTTCCTCAAATTCTAAGACGAAAACGGTTCTTAACGCATTATCTACAATAGTGTAAACAAGAAAGGTGAATTTGTTCTAAAGTTCTGTTTCTGGGAATATGACAAGAACCATAAAACATTAAGCAGAGCAGTCTTAAAATTTGTCAATGACAGACTTGTTGACAGAGATGACGCCTCTTGGAGAGATGAAGTCCAACAAAACTTCTTAGAATGCAAAGAAGACACATGCGCTGTTCTTGAAGATGAAATAGAAAACAGAATAGATGAGCTATTAAAGGACAAAGAACTTTTACATAAATATGGTTGCGCCAAATTTGACATAACTCCACCAGAAAAGAAGAAGAGAGAAAAGAAAGAAAAGAAAGAAAAGAAAGAAAAGAAAGAAAAGAAAGAAAAGAAAGAAAAGAAAGAAAAGAAAGAAAAGAAAGAAAAGAAAGAAAAGAAAGTAGAAGAAGAGAAGAAAGAACCTGAACCAGTTCCAGAGAAGGGGAGATATGACATGTAAAAATAAAATTTTATTTTTAGAACATTTCTGGGTCAATGTCAATGTTCTCTTCCTCTTTAGGAGTAAACACTGGCTTAGACTCTAAAATCTTTTTACCCAATTTACCTTGAACTTCTACAACTTTAGACTCATAATATTCATAGTCGTCTGTCTTCTTTAGTTCATAAGGTATAACAAGTTTGTATGCTTTGCCTTCTTTAAGGTTTGAGAACCTTCTGTCAAAACTTTCTTTGACTGTTAACAAACCTTCTATGTCTAAGTCTTCAAATTTCGCACCATTTTTAGTCACAATAGCAAACTTAACTGGTTCGATGTTCCAAACTTTGCTGAATGAAGACTTTTCAAAATGGTAGAAATAAACATTCAAATATGTGAATGGGTCTAGTTCTTCTTTAAGTCCTGACATGTACTTGTTTACTGAGATGAATTTCGTCATCTTTTCTATCGGATAAAAAAATATTTTTTAAAATTTACTCAGAAAAAATTTTCTTTGTATATACACCATTCTGAACATCTAAAAGACTTTGACATTTGCCAAGAATGTACGTTTAGAAGCTGCCATATAACCATATTCTTGACAATATTGTTTATACGAATCGTACAATGACCTTTCATCTAATGACACAAAGTCAGTTTCATCTACGAACAGTTCATATACACTCTTTTTGCTTCTAACAATGTTTGTCTCTCTTCGGTATTGTGAATTTGTCTTGGATTGAACTTAGAAATATCTAATGTCATGAAATATGAGAACAAGTGGTTGTAAAAGTCAGATGTCAAAGTTTCTGCTAAGTCGTCAAAAATATTCTGTATCTTGCATATGAGAATCTGACGTTCTGACAACTACATATCTTCTGTCAGAACTTTCTAACTTCATCGGAACAGCATTGTTTGAAACCATAATGAAGTTTGCAAACATTTTCACAAACTCTTTTGGTCTTTATACTTTCTTTCAACAACTCCAACTTTGTCTGTTATAAGACTCTTCAAAGCATCTGAGTTCAAAACTTTTGTTGTATCTATTACTTTTAAGTTCATTGCAAACTATAAGTTTCATATTCTCTATTGAGGAGTTAAACTTGCCACAGATGTTTTCTAAGTTTGTCATATTCGGATTCGAAAACCTTCTAACAGTTTGCACAAAATATCTGTAAAGAAAGTATTCTTACCAGTTCCTTGTTTTCCAATTATAATAGAGAGCAGTTTCATTTTTAGCACTTGGATGTTGTAAAAATGTTTGCAAACCAACATAAGATATACTCATAAACCTTTTCGTTTTCCATTGCATATAATTTCTTTGACATGGTCTAACCAAGCTTCTATAATATTTTCTTTCCATTCTACTTGTTCATATTTATATCAGTGAAGATAGAATAGAAGTTTGGAGAAGTAGGTGTATAGAACTTTATTACCACGAACTGAAAATCTTCTAACTTTGACAATAAGATATCCCAAGCATCTAACATCTTCATGCCAACTTGTACGACTTTATTTTCTTAAGTTTCTGTCTACATTCTTGTTCTGAAAACTATTGTCGCTTTAGGTTTGTTAAAGACTACATCCCATTCTTTCATAACAAAACATTCTGGGAAGAGTCGACATAAATGACTAAACGTTTCAAATTCTCGACTGCTTTGTTATAGTCTCTAAATGGACACATATTTCTGAATGCTTGGAAGTCATAAAAATCTGAAACATCTATTCTGTACATTTTTATAAAAATAAAAAAATATTTTTTTTTATTCTTGACTTTGTTGTTCCATTTGTTGCATTTGTTGTTCTTGAGCTATTTTGTTGAAATTGTTTCTTGTAATACAATACTTTCACCAGTGCATCTTCCAATTCGAAACTTTCTGCCGTCATTGACAAATACATAGGACATAAAAGTTTTACAGGAACAAAGTTTGCGTCAACTAATGTCAACGTTATACTTGCCAAAGTGTTTGAGTTCACTAAGGTTGAAAATTCTGCATTCGAATGAACAATAGGCAAACCAGCAGAGAAAGTATTGTTTATACGCATAAGTATCTTTTGGTCATAATAGTTTCTGTCGACATTCGAATAACACTTTGAACCTAAGTTTGAAACAATATATAAGATTGGTGTGCTTAATGTCATGGAATAGACATTCCTTGTATGACACCTTTTCCTGTTATAGGAAACTGTTGGTAGTAAAAACCAAAATAAGTTTTGTATTATAGCCTCATATCGTTTATTAGTAAAACTCAGTCGGACATCCAAAACATAATGAAACCTGCTCTAGTTGCAGCACATGTTACACCCGTACTTAAAGTATTAAATAAGTCAACAAAACCTGTTGGTGGTATATCTGAGTAAGTATCTTCAAAGGAGTATTTTTTTTACCATTCACAACAATAAAATCTTTCTGGTGTCAAAAGAGCAAAACAGCTTTAGTCGTCATTGTGTTTAAGGTTAGTTTACAATATCGTCCTTGAGGACTTTGTAAGTTTGTTGTTATAGAATTATATGACTCAGGATTTTTAGTCGTAATAGTATAAACCATTATGTCTTCTGCCATTTACTTAGCAAATAAATTTTAATGAAATGTTGTGGTCGTCAAATATTTTTATAACGTCTGGGAAACTATATTTTAAGTTCAACGTTTCACCTCCTTTCATAACGTATATCTTGTCAATGACATTATATGAAACACCACAGCAACTAATGTCGGGTTCTATTTCTTTGATGTTTATATCGTCTGCCTCTGTCAAAAGTTTCAATAGTTCTTTCAAAACTTCATGAGGTGCATGACATATGAGTTCACTTTTACAGGGTTGTGTTCGACCAAGTTTAACATTATACTTAAAGCTTGACAAATCTTCTCCTGAGTTTGAAGTTTGTCTTTCAGTTGTTGGTAGTCGTTTCGAATATCTGCAACAGAACTTAAGTCTCTGTTAACTTCAGGATATGTTTGGTTCTTTTACAGGAACAATTGTTATACCATCTTCGTCTTCGTATGGTTTCCCCACTTCAACATCTCTGTCTTTGACATTGACAACAACACTTGGCTGTTTGTTTGAGTTGGTGAATTTAACTTCACATCTGCCACCGCCATTAAACCTTTTGAAACACTTACGCTTCTATTTTTCGGAAATGACATTTTACTTAGAATAAAAGATGGACGTATTCGGATATCTTATTGAATTGAAGCAGAACAAAGTTTATACTCACAAACAATACAAATACATTGACAGAATAGTTCTTTACACAAACAATGGAAAATGTTATAGAATAGCAGTCTTTGCTGAACCTAAATATTTTCATAAAGCAAAGAAAGTTGGTATAACTGAAATGGTGAAAGTTCTTGAAGCAGACAAAAATATAACTTCAAAACTTACAGATATTTACTAAAGGTAAGTTTATAATACAATATTATGTCAAAATGGCGTACTGTCAATATTTGACGGAGAGAAGTCGTTCAAGAACAACTTACTGACCTGCTGCCAAAATCTGCTCGATGGAAGCTGTCGTTTATGCCAATCTGAGGAGCCCCAGCAGGTTTCATCGAACGAATTTTCAAAAGAGCATCTTCCGTGAAAAGTGCTATTGGTTTTGTAAACTTCTTTGCTTTCAATTCATCTGGACCGTCTCTGTCACCAGTATATTGTATTTGAACTGTACCAACAGTGAAATACCACCCATAGAGTCTTCTGAGTCAGCAAATGGAATGCCAAGCCAAAGGTTTGAACGGTCTCCATTTGTATATTGAGTTTTTTTGACCTCCTGTATGAGTCCATACTTTCACATATGGCATAATAGAACTTTGCATTTCAGGGTTAATGGTTGTTGTGAAGTTGTTGTTAAAGTTCATAGCATCTAATGTCAAGTTGTATGACCTCATATCCTCAACTGTAGAATATTCTTCTCTGGATAATATTTGCCATCTATGTTTATATGATATTTAATACAAGGGTTGTAGAAACAAGAATAGTCATTTTTAGTTCGTCTGAACAGTACAAAACATAGTATCTGCATGTTTCATTGCAGTTGTTAAAGCAATATCTGTTTCTTGCACCTGCGGCTCCTGGATTTTGGTTTCCAACTTCACCTGCAAAGTCTTTGACAGATATTTGGTGTATAGGGAACATAAGTGGAACTGCAATATATTTGGCAGCTAAAGCATTTGAAATATCTGGGTCCAACATATAGACTGCAAGTCTGCTTTCTATTCTCTTGCATTCAAACTGTTCGCATGTAAACTTAACTGGTCCCAAGCAGTTCCAGCAGCATTGAAATAATAGTTTACTTCATTGTTGAAGTTTGAGAAACCAAAGTCTAAGTCAACTTTGTCTTTGCAAAATTCGGCGAATGACGTTTGATTTGTTCCCTTTACGTCTGTAATAGTGAATGGGTCTTGTGTTGGTGCAATGACTAAGTTATTTTTGTTTGGAGTAAGTTCGATAGAAATTTTTCCTGCCCAGTTTGGCAAGTATCTTAAAAACCTGAAGATGAGGAAAGATGACAAAGGAACTCTAAGTTTCAGTTTTACTTTAGTTGCAGCAGTTCCATCTGAACCAGAAAGGTTAACATAAACTCCTGGAAACGTTAGGGTCAAGTCTTCTTATTTTCTCAATAGTTGCATACTGGTCTGTTTGTTCTCTAGCTTGTGGTTGTACTGAGTTTCTCAAAGCGAACCATTCATAGTTTGCCCATTACTGTTTGAACTAAGTCAGAGTTAGAATATATCTTATATCCCATGAAAACTTCTGGAGCATATTGGTATCCGACATAGAAAATTCCATGCAACCTTTCTTGTCAGACAACTTGGCAGAAGGTTTTATTTCAATGTCTTGTTCCACGTATAAGAATGAGTTGTCAATAGAAATAATGTGAAACCTGTCGCAAGCAATATCTACTGTTGTTGAAGAACCTTCTCCAAACTCACCTACGTTTCCATAAGAAACAGCAGTTGTATATTCGTAAGTTCCAGGAACTATTTCTGACCTTCTAATGGCATTGTCGCATTCGTTATACCATTC